CCACTGTTACACTAGCCGGCTGCTACCTCGCTTAGTGAGTGCTAGCTCAGGTGTGTCTGCAGGTGCAATCACACCTCTGACTGCAGGGCAAACACACCCTGAGTGCCCAGCATCAGTAGGACTGTCTGATCTTTCCCAAGCCCTTGCCAGCATTTCTCCTTCCTCATTTCTCCCCACCCCCGAATCTCTCTGTTCAGGCTCTTCCCCTCCCATCGACTTTCTTGTATTTTCCTCAATGGAATCTCAGCCTGTTACTGTCTGAGGTTTACAGAAGCTGTAAAAAAAGGCTTTATTTTCGACAGTTCCACGTCTAGACTAGTTTTTTTCAGGGGAAGGAGGGGGTTGTGGCCATGTTTATGCAAATGAGGCGCAGGATATTTCAATCCCTGCTTCATTAGCAATTTTGACATGCTTGATTTGCATCCCTCTGTTGACAAAGGGATGCAGCCTAGACATAGCCTTATTGTCTGACAAGAGCTGTAATCTCCTCAGTCCTTTTGTATCATTCCCCTGAGCCCGGCCCAGAGCCCTGCACTAGCTGCAGCCCCCGCTCTGCTCCCACGCACCATGAGGCTCGCAGAAAGCCCACGTCTGTCTGCGAGTATATCTAGACTGGTGGGTTTTTCTGGGAATGTGTTTGTTCTTCTGCTTCTTTTTGTGCTCTTTCAGGGAGGAATAAGGGCTATGTTGGGACTGAAAGTTTTATTCTTTTTATATTTGTATTTTAGGTTTAATGATATAGCAATAATGTAGCAATGTAATAATATAGTTTAATGGTGTAATAATAATATAGTAATGTAAGGTAACATTAACATACATTTAATATTTTATTATGACATCATAATTGTTGTATTCTCAATAAATGCGGCGTACTGCCTTTTCCCCTATAAAAAATCTCGTGTGCTTCGTTTAAGCATAACAGCTAGACAGGGCCAAATGGCGGAAAAGCCTCTTTCAGAAAAGCTATTGGAAAAAGCTCCACAAACTGTCTGTCAACAGACTGTATAGTCTAGACCTAGCCTGGGACTGTCCTCTGGAAGGAGCTTCGCTCTGCCCCATGCAGCACCAGCAGCACCAGGGGTCCCTGAGCCTCCCTTGGCCTATTGGATCTGCCCCTCCTCTCACATAACCCACAATCTTCTGCCCAGCCCAGATCTGCGCCCCTCCCTGCAGAAGAGCTTAGCCCCACCCTCCTGTCTTGCTGCCTTTGTAGCTCAGGGTGCACCAGCCTGTTAAGTGTTTCCCAGTCATGTCATTTTTCTGATTACTTGACCCAACGCAGAACTTGGTCACCTGGCTAGACATTGGTGACAGGGCCTGGCTGCTGCCCCTTTGGAAATCACGGGTATTATTGTCCTCTTGTTCTGCCTCTGCCAGCTGCAGGGTTTGCCCTGTTGGTTCTTCTTTCTGAAGTACACAGTGTGGGTCTGCAATGGCTCTGGAATTGATTTTTCCTGGCTCTCCTTTCAACATTCCAGTGTCACCAAAACCTCTTCGTTTTTCCACTTTGTCACAATGGTCACTTTGGCTGCAGTGGAAAGTTGTTGGTCTTTGATCACATGCCCTCTGACTGCAAAGTGTTTGTCCTTGTACGTTGTTTCTGGGGTGAACTGGCTCATGCAATTCAGAATGCTGTCAGGGTGAGTCAGAGCTGCCATGGTTCTTGTAAATCAACATCTGCTGCTAAACCAATTTTGAAGTCAAGAGCATTTTTCTGAGTGCTCCGTTTCACACCCCAGGTAGGCTCTGTATCTTCACTCGTGATCAATCCTAGAAACAATGATTCTTGATTGTCTGTCATGTGAATCAAGTTCCTTATTACTTTGATGTGGCAAACAATAGGAAAATGTCCATGTTTCCTGCATTTATTATACCATGAACCTTTGGCTGGTCATTCCATGTCCCTTGGGATGTGAATTTGTCCCATCTTTTGCCTTTAGG